CAAGTCAAATTTTGGAGCGGAAAAACATTTTTTTAAACAAATGAAATGACTGTTTAAAGATTGTAAACTGAAAAAGCAAGTATTTAAACTTACTACTAAATGGTTAATTAATCAAAAGTTATAAATGATTTTATCTGGCAATGTCCCGTGAATAATATAAGATTCTTGTTTCCTGTACAGTTTAGCGCCTGTCATCCTCGCTACAGACTCTCTCAGGTCAGATTATACCAGTATTTAAGCATAATGCTACCACTGTCTTACCTAGTTACTCCGTGACCAAGTGACGTATCGCGGGCGCCAGTTGAACCGGACGCACTATAAGTTGCTGAACTCGCACTTGGATGAGTAGAGCTCACACTGACTGCACTTGGTTGAGCGGAAGAACTCGAGATATAGGAAGAACAAGCTGCCAGTCTCGAGGATTCCGTTGGCCTGTTGGAATCAGATGTTATCTCGGTTCCAGAATAACCAGTAGCCCTAAAATTGATGATAATTTTTAGATTATTGTTTTTAAGCGAAACACACTAACATGAAGTCAATGAATCTTCTTTTTTTCACCAGCAAATTATTCATTTAGACATAGACATAGACAGTTTATTTTATTTGGACAACACACTTAGCTGTGGTAACGGTGCGTCCCATAGACTTGATGAGTCTACAGGACACACCAGTTAGTTTACAGGTGCGCCAAGAAAGAAAAATAAAAATGTAAAAATGTATCTATAATTGGTTATAAATATTTAACTAAACTATCTAAGAATATATAACTACTCTAAAAGATCTAAGAATGTATAAGAATATAAAAATGTGTGTAAATTGTGCAGATTCGTTCGTCTTGGGTTTGGGCAGCAAATATCGAGTATTTTGCTCTAATATCGCTAAAGCAATATGAAGTTTTTACTCGAATCCAGAATCTTTAAAATATTGGAAATAGTAAATCATTCAGTTTTTCGGTTGATTGTTCTCCCGCACAAACCTATTTTATAAAGGCTTATGTAACAAATTTTGTTACTTTTAAAAGAAACCTGGCACAAACGTTACAACAAAACTGTGTGAACGGCCTGAATTCAGTTGCCACCGTGATTAACACAAAAATTTGAGCCTGAAACAGAGTAGAGGACTTGCACCAAATTGCTGTTTCACATTCAAATTTCAACTATAATTGTGGTAATTGCTCAATTCAGAACTGCCTGTAGTATACTTTTTGTTTTTTGTTTTTTTGTTGTTTTTTTTTTTAAAGTCCCGCCATCAATTCAACCAATCAGATGCAAAGACCAAAGGCAATCGCGATTTGGTTGTACGCCTCTTCCCGCGCTTGGCGTTCACGGGTTACCAGGACTACATGTATTTTCCTCGATCTTTTCTAGTTGGTTGGTTGTGTTAAAAGCCCATTCTATCACAATAATAATATACATGACCATCCCGGCTTCTGTATTGCACTTTCCTGAACTGCTGAAGTGGTTTTCGAGATGTTCCATACTCTGGTTCCATACCTTACAGTGCTCGAGCTTCCAGTACTGACTGCACTCGGTTGAGCAGAATAACTTGAAGGATTGACGGCTGATCTTGAAGATTCTGTTGGCCTGGTATAATCATATGTTCGCCCTGATCTGGAATAACCAGTAGTTCTGTGATATAAGTTCATAAAGTTATTCTACTGCGATAATGTGATTATGTTACAAAACAAAATATGAAACTCAGTCTAAATCATAACAAACTTGAAAGGAAGCACGATTACTGTAACACTTTTTGCAATAATTTTAGTTTGTCTAATTGCAGAAAAATGTTTATTAATTAGCTGTAATTCTTCTGCCAGTGACTCACATACAATGAATCGTCGAGGAGGCTTTAAATATTTCAACAGTTTATATTTTAGCCTGAATTTTAGGTTAATACTGCGTTAAAAATAATACCCTGGACTTTCTGCTGAAGTACTTCCAGAGCGGTCTGAACCAGTAGCACAGAAAGTCACGTTTGGACGGGTGGAACTTTCAGTCGCTGCATTTGGAGAAGAGTAACTTGAGCTGTATGAAGAAGAAAGAACAGCTGGTCTTGCGGACTCAGTCGGTCTGCAGTAGTCGGATGTTCGGCCTGATCCAGAATAACCCGACGACCTAAACGTAAATTATTGCAATTAATGTTTTTTTTTCAAGTGAGGGTTAATGGCACGCTATTTGAGATTAATCGGTAGATTCTAATCTGTGTCATTTTAAATTAATTATTTCAAACTGCCCTAGCCCAAAGGCTCGTGCAATTTTGAAGGAATTTTCAAATATTACTCGTAGTATAAATCCTTAATTGTATTCGCATTCATTTGATTACAAATCTGCGAATAAATTTTTATCTCACAAAATTAATATCTCGGCGTTTCGCCGAAGGAATTACGCTTTTGATAAAGATCGAGTACTTAGCGTTAAATGGCTACATTAATTAAGTCGCCATTCTCAAGCTTGATATTGCACTTTAGCTTTAAGGAGAAAAAAGCTCATCTTTAAAGGCCATCGCGTGTTTGGACTGAACTACACGAAATATTTTTAAGTATTTTCAGGATTTACACACCTCCTCCTACTCCGTTTTGCAAATTTTAACTTCAGTTAATGACCTTAACGATATCAGCTTTGTTACAGAGCAGTATTTGAGTTGTTTTGTGATCGCTTGGCGCTGCACATCCAACATCGTTTATCTTAATTATATTTGATCATTTGACATAATCTCCTCTCAATCTTTTTATTTTAATACCGTAACCTCTCCCAGTATAATGTTTCTTCTCCTCTTTTCCTATATCGCAAACTTAATTATCTTATAATGTCAGACAAAACAAGGCGTTTACAAATTTAACGGAAAACGGTTTTTACTGCTATAGACCCTGTGGCTCTAAAATTTCTTGCTTCGCTTCATTTTCCTGTAAGGAATTTAATTGCGACTCTTTTCCTTTTTCTCTCTTTTCAGAATCCAAAATTCGAAATTTTTAATCGGCAGAAAGGAATATATTTTATTTAAATAAGTACCAAGTGCAGTAGATTTATAATTCACTATAGTTCTGTATTTTTTCAGAGGGAGAGTACTACAGTTTTTTTTTTTTACTGAAGTATCATTATGGAACAAAAACGAAACTCATATTACGGAATCTCGTGATTCGCTACAGGAACAACGAACAACATCTCACAGGTGAATTCCCTACTTTCTAAGTTCTATAAAATTAAGCCAGAAGCTGATCTAGTGATCTGGTGATTTAGTGATCTCAGTAACTTCTGTTTCAAAGCAAGCAAGCATGACCAAGAGTTTTTAAAGTCAACTTCATGCTTAAACAAGACACAAGAAAAAAGGAAAAGAAACTGGTTTTCCCAGGAACATATTCCTCAACGACGTGAGAAAGAAAATCAATTTTGGTTTTTTCCGTTGACATAGCTTCGAGCCTTACCTTGGACTCTCTTGAGCGCTTGTCAAGTCGCGTCCTCGAGATGAAGCAGAAACGCTGTGACTTGTTGAAGGCGCGTTTGAGCTAGAAAGACTTACAGTTGTCGAGCTTGGATGAGATGAATAGCTCGAACTACGTGAAGAATATGCTGATGGCGCAGATGAATCCGGTCGTCGGGTATAATCAGTTGATCGGCCACTGCCGGCAGAATACCCTGCCGCCCTGCTGCTGTAGTAAGGAACACTAGAACGATACATCTCACAGGTTAACCACAATGCTCAATCAACAAAACTACGGAGACCTTATGAGTCCTGAAGCCTTAACAGTTCTGCGATATTTTTTAAGGATAGCGGTGGGAATTTCAAGA